ATTAATGCAGAATATTAATAATAATAATAATAATAATAATAATAATATTAATATTAGTATAGAATCATATTCAGTACTCATTGTCACGAAAATTGATTATAACTTTCTCAAATTGTAAGAATGCGAAATTTTCACTGAATTAATTGCGAAACTGAAAGTAACAACAACGTGAAATTAACGTTCGTGGGAAAAGGGAAAGTGAGAGGTAAAAATAAAATTTTGAGAAAGCAAATCTGATTGGCAGACTGGGAAGCGTTTAAAGTAATTAGTGGATAGTGAACTATGATTCGAGGGTATGTAAACTTGCAATTTAAATGTTTCACATATTCTAATTAATGGCGACTGAATCGCGAGGGACCAACAGAGAAAGTGAAAATATCGAGACTGATAATTAATAACGACGACTTTACGGAATGTGAAAGTTCGCGATTTTTCTTCTACGAGGCAGTTTAAATAAATTATAGAAATAAATTCGTGAAATATCGTAATTTTCTAGTACATTCGAATGTCGAATGTTATATAGTCACTAGCTCAAATCGTCAATGTTTGTACTTTTCCTGTAACCTCGTGTCAAAAAATCATGCGTATTTCAAAGGCTGAATGTTACAATTTCGTATCTTCGAAAAGGCTCTTCTAATTAGTAAGAAATTGACGTAACTCGTTTCCTTTAGAAATTTTACAAGCTCAAATAACTCCATGGAGTTTAAAAAAAATAAATAAATAAATAATCCAAATACGCACTCAATTGTAATTTTTTTAATTTCTTGGACTATTATGATTAATATATATATATATAATATTAATATATGTATAATATTATACATTAATATATTATTATTACACATATATTAATAGTCCAAGAAATTAAAAAAATTACAATTGAGTGTGTATTTAGATTAAATCTTTATATTTATTTATATATATTATATATATATAATTATAATGTTGTATTACAAATAATTAACTAATTAAATTGTATTATATTATTTGCAATACTGACCGTAAGAGTCGCAAAAAAAAGACCAGTCAATGAGAAAATTCGATTCAGTTGTACGAATTAGTCGTGCCTAACCGCATCATAGCGTGACGTGAGTCTAATTTACTTACAATGGGAAGGAAGGAAAAACCGAGACAATGGTATATCAAGATATTTATCTATCGACACGCAGCGAGGCAGACCGGTATTTCTACGATTATTGTCCCGACGTGAATGAACGAATCTAATTACGATGCAGCAGATTGAAAAAAAAAAAAAAAAAAAAGAAGGCTGCAGCGAATTTTTTCACAGTTGCATTGCTGTGTTCGTGTAGTGACAACGAATTAGATAATCAGTGAGTTATTCTTGTTACACCTGGAAATTATATAGTCTGTGAATAATTTTAGGAGAATTATTAATTCTTATTATATACTATTTGCTTGTCTTTGGAAGTGCATAATTCAATGATACAAGAGGGATAATTTAATAATATTTTGTACGCTAATATAGATAACTTGACCACGAATTAGTATCATTCAATTCATTTAATCATATTTATTGTTTATCATTTTCACACAAATGTTCAGCTTTAGAATTCTACTTTCGAACGCTTAAATATCTTAATTTAAACATTGAAATGGAAAAATTTTATTCTCCCTTACAAACTTATTTCTCACATAGGATCTCTATCCAGTTATACTATATTTTAGACTATATTTTTTTACTATATTTTTACTATTATACTATATGTTATACTATATTTACAAATGTTAATGTTGATAACGCTGATAAATCGTTACATTACTGAACAGTTAAATAACACCCCCCTCCCCTCCGAAATCATTCAATTATTGTTCAAAACATTTGTCTGTACGTAATATTTCAGCTTACAGTTCATTCTCCGACGATAGAACTAATTAAAATAATTTTAAAAGAAATAGCTGGTAGCGTCATCGGTTTAAAGTGGAAGGAATCAGATCCCGATAAACCGGACTCGACCTTGGCGTAATTATACTAACCGAGAGGTTTGTTTTATTTCGAACGGCCTGGGTAGTTTTCTTTGTCGACAGGGGTTCGAATGGTGGCGCGATTTTTTTTTTTTTTTTTTTTTTTTGGTCGTCGATCCTGGCCTATCTTTCTCTTTGCCTCTGATTTCGCTTATGCAAGAAGAGAAAAGGGAGGAAGGAAGGAGAGGCAGCGATGCGAGAACGTAACGATCCTTCGCAGTGGAGTGACCATCCTCGGCTCCTCTAATGACTCGGGACTGATAGATAGCCTCGCGACGATCGACAACTTCGGCTCGGTACCGTGGACCTTGAATAATAAGTTACATAAATTACACGCTTACCATGCCCAGGTCCTCGACGACGCCGAGAGGAGGATAATGGCGAGCCTTTCGGGGTGAGAATGTCACGACACAGGCATGCGATCTAATACAGTGGAACTTTGTTTAGCACGAATATGAGTAATAAATGAATTAAAGAATACCTTGTCGACTGACAGTTGATCGGTTGATAATAAATGAAATGAATGGAATAATAATATTAAATTGGAATTATAGGATTATAGATATGTAGAAAATATATAGATAACATTATAGAATTATAGACATATAGAAATGTATAATATTAAT